CTGTGAGGAACATGTCTCTGCATGATTCTCAGTATATAATCCAGAAGCATATTTTAGGATAAGTTCCTAGAACACAGGTAGGATTCTAGAATCGAAGGGAATGCATGTTTAATTTCTTAAATCACATTATCATAGTTTCTTGCTAAGAAATTGTAGCAATTTATACTTCCCCAAACCTCACCAACATTTTGGTAGGTCAAATACCTTAACTGACATTCTTGTGACTATGGATAAGCCAGGAAATCTTATTAACAGTCATTTCTATTTCTCTGTGTTGAAACTCACTGGCTTGTGAGGAGAAAGAGGGATTGTTTTGCCCATATTTATCAATAATTTAAAAGAATTTCTAATAAAATAAGAAAGTTTTATTTGTGATGTTTCAAATTCCCTCTGCTCCCAGGCTGTCTTAAGCATTCTTGATGATCAGAAGCCTAGTTTTCATATAGACAAATCCATCAACTGTTTATGTCTTATTTTCTTTTTTTTTCCAGTTTAGGAAGCTTGTCTCTATCATGAAACACAATGGTCAAGTACTATTTTTAGCTTTCATTTTACAGTATCTGTTTCCTGTATCAAGAATTCATTTTAGAATCTGATGGCAAACTGACCCTTGGGGGGAGGGGGGCAGAAATCTATACTGCAACAATAAAAATAATAAACAGGCAGCACGCCAACTTGAAAAATGAAATTTCACTCTTACTGACATTTCTGAATATTACAATAATATTTTGGGGTAATTAATGTTTATTGGTGGCCTGCCAAGGAAAGCCTTTCGTAGACGATCTACAGATCAGATCTTGTCTCATCTGACAGGATTAGTGCCAGGTAGTTAAGGTCATTTTTAATTTGACTTAATTGAGACAAAATACTGGGCTCTGAAGCTGGAAGCATGCTCAATTTCTTCCAGCCATAAATTCCATCTGGTCCAGGATGTTTAAAATAAGACCGGGCTGCAAAACATTATAAATTTGCAGACTCTCTTTCATCACATGTATGATTACCCATATATAAACTCCCTGCCCCTCCATGAATCACATACTCCTACACGGTCTGGTCTCCTGATTTTTCTCAACCACCAAAACATAAAAATATTTTTTTAAGGTTCCTCCTCTCTCCAAGAAGCACATATATGTAAGCAACAGGATGAGAAACGAAAGACATAAATGAATGGCTTGAAACATCAGAAGCATTCCACATTTAACAAAGAAAAGAAAATCCAGTCTTTCCTTTGGAGACAGAATAGTGGCAACAGACAACTATTTAGTAAAAGTAGGTGCCAAGTGATGCCTTTCAGAATTTCTAAAGAATTTAAAACATAACTCACAGAAAAGCATTCTTTGGAGAGAAACAATGTGAACAACTTTGACAAGCACAAAAAACCCAAAATGGAGTTCCAGGCCATGCAGTCATTTAGAAACAAACAAGCAAACTGAAGGGAAGTGTCCAGGCTTTTGCAATGAAGAACATGTAAAGCAGTCAGCCCATCTGAATCTTCATGCATTTTAAGAAGCAAAATGGGAGTTAGAGATGCAACTGTGGTCTGAACAATACTTACAAGATAACAAGATTACCTGACTTTTCTAAACTTCCAAGCAGCTAACAATTAAGAAAACAAGAGACATTTGTTCATTTGCAAATGTTTACTACAAATCACACCGTCACACACAAACCGAATCCATTATCGTGACCCACAAAGTACAAACATTTTCCCCTTCACTAATGGGAGAGAGAAAAAAAAAATTGCTACTAAATGTTACTACAGACTAGGAAGCTGTTTTTAAACTGACAATATGGAATATCACCCAATTTCAAAGAAAAAAAAAATCAGGAATGACTGCAAAAAGTAGGAGGGACTGGGAGTTAAAAAAAGAAGGAGGAGGAGGGACCGCATGGTGAGTGAGACCCATGGCCACTACTGGTGCAGTGGACTTTTGGCATATGAGCTGTATTGGTCAGCATATTAGTTTACGTAGGACATACATGCAACTTAATCGTTCAAGTCATGACTTTTTTAAAGCCAGAGAGTACAGGAGGGAAATTGCAGGATTAGACTGAACGGTAGCAAGCTTGGCAGGCGCATGGACATTGAAGCGGGCAGTCAGTCATGGTGCCCCACGCTCACCACACAGACTCATGACACACAATGGCACTGCCCCAACGTGAGATCGGGAGGCTCAGGGTGACATACACGCTGGTGACCCAACACAATAGGAGGCTCGATGACAGTCAGAGGGGAGCACTCAGCCCTCTGCGCTGTGTTATCAAACAGACGCATAGCTGAACAAGAAAATATGTGCTCAATGCAATGGGGGTGTTCTAGAAAAGACCCAACCCCTAAAAGCTTGAGTGCCCTCTGCTACCCAACAACTGGAGGAAAAGACACACACTTCGTTCATTTATAAAGCTCTGGGCACCAGAGAGTGAATTATCATTTCCCAGAAAATAGACCAAGTGTAATAGCTAACATGCTTTGAAGCTGGAGATATTTTCACATCATGAAAAACAAGGCTAGCAAATTTAAGTGGACATGCAATGTGTGCTGAGTATAATCTTAAGTAGAAACAAAGAGCTACTCGTGTATTCAAACTACTCCAGTTCTACCCTTTTGAAGTGAGAAAGAGGAGGGGGTTGAGGGAAATTGGAAGAAGCTGTTTGGGGGAAACAATGTATTTTAATTATGTAAATAAACCAGGTAAACTAGTATTATTTAGAACAAAATGGCAATGGTTTTCTAAGAGCACAATGCTCAAATTCTTGTCTAAAATGTGTACCTGTGAGAGGGGGTAAACCACGGACAGATTTGAACAGTGAGGGGGGGAGGGGAAATTACAAGTGCATTTGCCTCTAATCTATTTCTAAGGTGAACAAATTTTCTACACTATTCCAAGTACTGAAAACTGACCTATCCTGGCCAAATCATAGCTGTGCCCGGCCTCAATGCCACACAGAAGAGCTGCTTTGTTTTTACCAGCCAGGGACGGAGCAGTGGTGGCTGTCAGGAGACCCCTCTTTGAAGCCCTGGGCTATGGAGGCTTCGCTGTGTGAGTCCTGGCAAAGAAATCATGTCACTGGGCCTGCTTCCTCCTCTTTGACCTAAGAAAATCACCATCTCAGAAAGCTGTGCTGAGGATTCACCGAGTTACACACAGGATAGCACCTCATACAGAGCAAGTATGGGAAAGTCCTTAATAAATCTACTTCTGGGTGTGTTTATGTGCTAATTGACATGTGCTATTCAGAAGCGGTAAAATAAACCTTCAGACTATCAGCTTTGTGTCTTGGTTTGTTGCTTAGAGACTAGAATCAAAATGTTTTGATTAGCAGAGTCTATTAGTTGTGTCCTACTTTAACCTAGATGTAGCCTTATTAAACTTGTCTCAGAAACAGTTTTATTTGGATGCCAGGATAGGCATGATTGTCACATTTCCAACAAATATCTTCATTGCTTCCATGAGAGAACATTGGTGGGGACACTCAGAACAACATGGTCCAGATAGGCAGCTCTGGCCACCCTGACCACAGGGAAGACAGATACTCCGCACGGAACACTATGTTGAGAAAAATCAAGTTCAGAGAGCCTGTTCAGTTGCCTCAGGCAAATAAGAAGCCCTCAAGTTAAAGTTGCCTGGAAATTTTAAAGTTATTCCCAGGGAGCTGTTAAAAAGGTCAAAAGGAGAAATATGTAGCAAACTGCCATTGACTGGGGATCATATCGCAGGTGACACAATTTATGTGATGCCTCAGCCAAGGAAAAGACCAACCAACAGTTCGTTCAATGCCCAGTGACCCCACTACATATTCACATACACATCCAGAGCTTAAACTTAGTTTTATGCTCTACTGATACAATATCAGAATTGGTATTTCCCTTTTCAACTCAAGCTCCCCTACTACCAAGCTGGCTTCCTCCCTCCACTAGCACCTCCCTCTCATGCCTGAATGTCTCTACTGTCCACAGTGGATGGTGATCTCTATTTTCTGCCTGCAGCACTAACTAAAAACTCCTTTTGCCTACCACTCATCTTTCCCTGCATGTATTATGCCTCTGTGAAGAGAACACTGGCTTTAATCCTGAGCATGAAAGCTTCATGGTATGAATCTTGGGCAAGAGATAATGCTACATTTATAATTCTAATAAACTTGGGTGACATAAACCTTTTGCCCTTGCTAGTAAGAAAGGTTGAATCCTCTTGCTAAATGTACTAGATTCAAAGGGACAAGTTCTACAAAATTAGAGCCCCTAAAAACCCTATAGAACACTTTGAAGCACATGGTGTCACTTCCTAAGTCTGTATTAGATTGATGGAAAAGGTTTATTGTTGCCTTTTTTCCTGACGGAACTTAACTTTCAATGTAACAATTAAACCTTGTTGGTGCTGCTATGTGCCTTCCAGTCACCTCTGACTCATATCAACCCTACGCTCAATAGTTCTGAGCCCTGCCCTATCCTAAGCCAATCTCACTGTCTTCAACATACCTACCCCATTACCCAAGTTACTGTATCAATCTCTCTCAACCCAGGTCTTCCTCTCCTGTGCTATCCTTCCACCCTTCCAAGAACGATGTCCTTCTCCAAGGACTGGTCTTTCCTGGCCACGTGCCCAAAGTATGTGAGAAAGAGCTTCAAAAGCCTTGTCCTCCAAGGAGAAACTTGGTTACTATTTCATCTTCCAAACTCCCAAATTATGCATTACGCTTAATGATGCCACCATTCTCAGTTTATCAAACCCACATCACCAATCTCTTTCTTCCTGCTATTTAAAATCTTACATATTTCACCACACCACACATTGCTCAGCGTCACCGGGACTCATCTATTCTCTTCAGCATCACTGATCTTCATTCTCTGATATAATCCCTCAAATCAACTTTATATTATCAGATGAACATTCACATCTTTAAAAAACAACCCACAGGTCTACTCAAACTTCACCATTTATTTTTTTTTTTAAATCACTCCTGTGTATCAGTATTATGAAGATGTCTTTAAATGCACATACCTCTTTTGGTAAAGATACTAATTTATTTCTGTCTGCATTCAAGTTGCTCAACTTCTTAAGTTTTCCAATGCTCTTAGGTAAGGTCTGTTAAAATAATATTTTTAATGTTAATCAAAAGCACCTTTTAAATGTAGCTCATATTTTTAAAACAGAGGTTTTCATAAAGAATGCAGTCCCATTCTGAAATGAAATCAGACATTTGTAATGCTCGCTTGCAGGGCGCGGTGGGGGGGAGATAGAGAATCAACTATACTGGATGTTTGTTGAAAGGATAGCATGTTTCAAAGAAATTAAATCAAAGGGCCAAATGTGGGAGTAGAGGCACACCCACAAAAGCCTATAAATGGACAAAGGCTCTCCATCATGAATGAGAATATACATCCCCAAGTTCCATCTCTTCTTCTGTCTGTGCCTTCAAGGGCCACACTAACATAACGGGTGACAGTGACTGTGGAAGACACAGTGCTGGGGAGGGAATCAGTCGTGCGCACTGGTGTCAGGAAGCCTGGGGAAGAGAGGGCTGAAACGGGCATGAGGACAAGGTAAATAGAGCTGGTGAGAAGAGGACAGAGACCTGTGGGGAACAGGCTGGTTCCAAAGGGGCTCCTGATGAAATCTGGGTGATCTTTTTAATTTTTTAACTTGTATGACTGTTGTTCTGTAATCCTAAAACCACAAAGACATGAAGACTTGGTAATCCATATTGCACCTGCCAGAGTTACCTGACATGTTTCTGACCCTTTTTATTCCTCTTTGCTCCTAGAGAGAAATACTTATTCTTTTTCTAAAAATAAGAAAGGGGGTGAGGAGGAAAGGGGAGAAGACACAGAAATCTGTAAAGTGATACAATAAGGGAGGAAGTAGAGAGAATAAACTGAAGAAGAAACAAAATGCAAGGTAACTAAAAGAGAGAAAAGAGGAGAAAGAGGAGATAAGTAAGAGAAAGACTGAAGAGAGAAGAGGAAGTAGCAGAAGGGAAATGATGAGTGAGATTTGCTGTTTCCAAGGCAGGCAGGGAACGCACCACGTCTGCCTTTGTCTTCCCAGGACCGGAAGCATTGGTCAATGCTGGAAGGCCTGAGACCTATGTCTGCCTCCTAAGTATTATGATGAGGGAAGGAGGAGCCTCAAGCAAAGGGCAACAAAACATTCGCTCTGCTCAGAAGAGCACTCCCCAGTCCCTTCCCACCAAGCCTTTCTCTGGAAAGCCACCATTTCTAATTCTTGCCTGTTCTTCCAATTTGCTCAACTGAAGCATTGTTTCACCCTGGACATTGTGCTGGAGGCATCATCACTGGTATTAACAGTGTCGTTACCTCTCTGGGGGACTTCTGTAAGGTGTCAGTTCAGGAGAGGGCACATGTTCTGACAACAGACCCTCCAAAACCACGGTCCACTCTTCAGCAGGTAAACAATGATCTTCAGGAACTTGATTTTAGCGTAAAGAGATTTCTGTTTGGCTTACCCAAATTACAAACTGGGTAAGCTCTCCCAGTAAGCTCTTTGCTACTTGGAACCTACACATAAATGTCCATGTACATTTTACACTCCATGTTACACTCACCAGGAGCAGATTCTCTGTGAGAACCAATTCTGTGAGGCTTTCACAATCTCCAACCGTTTCAGGCAAGTGGGTGAGTCTGTTCTGATCCAGCTTCAAGATCGACAGCTTCTTTAGTTTCCCTGCAAGAGTGTTATTTAGACTCATTAGCTACCATTTCCCTCTATCATCACTTAGTGTTTCCTACCTGCTGTGTTTTTGTTTGTCTAACACTAATTTCTTCCTCTCTCTGTTTTAAGATATGAAACTATTATCATGCTCATTTAGATCATAAAAAGTTAAGAGGTGAGAGAATTTGTTCAGAATATCAAACGCAATCAGCAATTAGTAGCAAATCATTTTTAAAAGGCACGTCCTAAAACCATCCGAACAGCAGAGGAAGAAAATAAACAGTTGACTCTGGCTTGTTCTTCAAGGAAGGTGAGGAGATATTTCATGTATGGTTGAGAGATGAGACCTTTATCTTATTCCAAGAATGCTCTTTATAAAACAAAAAAACTTTATCGTGTCTTATAGCACCTATGAATAAAAATGATACAGAGAAAGGAAATTCCTGTGATGGAATATGTCTATCTAAGCAGGACAGCAGTAAGCTTTGGGAAGCCACAAGGACGGCTGAGGCTATTTCATGCACACGGCAGAAATACTTGACGTACTAGAGATGCCCACAGGCTGTGGAGACGAGCAGTGGGCTTCACTGAAGCCTTTTTTTTTTCGGGCTCCCACTGTGTGACCGGAACCCTCACTCACTCTGTCAACTCTCCCTTTTCACTCTAAGTCAGAGGAATGACTTACACAGCAGGTGTCTTTCATGATCCTTTGAGAGTAGCCACTCACAGGAGGGCACTTTCTCCAATAAAGGCCAGAAAGCAGCCTCTAAATCTTAACAGAAACACAAAGAAAGGTGCATGTTCCCCTGAAAGAATCATCTTGCCGTGTGAGCAGCCCACAGGGCAAGGCACAAGAATAAATGTTTCTTAAACCCTTTTTGGCATCATCAATAACCTGTCCCCCAAGGGTTTTCACCTGGCCTTCCTCTCAGGCACTACAGAAGCATTCAGAATAGAAATACCTTACTCCAACAGGAGATGTGTCTTCTGAACAAGAACACTAGCAAGTGGTCTTCCGGCCTCTCCTTCAATACTTGTAGCTGCAATAACTCTTTTCTTTACTAAGCAGCCAAGTCTAATTTAACAAGCACCTTTTCCCCCCCTTCCTTCAGGTCTTTCCTAAATGGAAATTCACAATCCTTTCTTTTTCTGCCAATGTTCAGTACACCAAGCCACCAAAAGCTTTTTGCTGGACTCCTGGTGATCGCTCGTACTACCGAGTGAGAGAGCTCCATTCGAGTTGTGACTTTTCTGGAGGTGGATTACCCATCTTTATGCTGCAGTGCAACTGGGTGGGTTTCAACTGCCAGTCTTCAAGTTGGCTTAGTGAAAACTCAATCATGCAGGAACTATTTGTATCATGCTGTTGTTGCATCATTCTGACTCATAACCGTACAGGACAGAGCAGAACAGCACTAGAGATTTGCACAGCCAGAAATCGTCATCAAAGCAGACAGCTGTATCTCTTTCTTTTGTGGAACAACTTGCAGGTTCAAACTTCTAACCTTTTGGTTTGCAGCTGAGGGCTTAACTACCACCTTTCAAATGCTTCAAAGCCACCTCCAGCCTCCTACCTCTTCCTACTCCAAGCCAAATATCCCCAGCTCCTACAATTGCTTTCCAATGACACATCCAATTTTCAGTGAACATTTTTACGTAAGAGTCCAAGTCCTCAGCCATTTTCAAAAAAGGTCATGTCTCTCTTCCTCCTGAGTTGTGACTGTCAGTTATCACTTTCATCTTGACCAAAACCCAGAAAGGAAGTAGTTCTCTGTTGTATAGCCTTTCCAGTTATTGAAAATCTTTCAAATACTTCCTTTGATGTTTGGAATGAAAGACAAATGAAGGCCAAAGACAGCCATCAGACAGCAACTGTGGGGTTAAAGAGAGTTTTCTGGCAATTTCCAAGTGGCTTTATGAAGGTGGAACTGCCAGTCCATGTCTGTTTATCTCTCTGGTGTTTGAGTTTATTTCTTCACCCTGGCTTAAGTTCCTTTATGGTAAAAGAAATGGTCTAGACTGCTATTTTTAAAGGAAATCACATAAAATGATAACTTTGCAGGATTGTCCTCAACGCAGTAGAAAAGACTCTGCTCCATCCAGTACAATATATTTCCCTTGTTTTTGTTGTTGATTGCCATCAAGTCGAGCACGACTCATAGTGACCCTATAAACAACAGACCTGAAGCCTTTCTATAACTATTGTTGTTTCTCAAAGCTAATCGAGTTTCCAGAGGCATGCTGTTAGGAAGTGGATGCCACTCCTGCTTGCAAATATTTCCTGTAACAGCCCCCTACTTAGATCATCCAATAAATAAAAATTATTTTCTCATAAACGGCTTAGAATACTGAATGAGAAATAGTCCGGTGATGGCTCATGTACCTGAAAAGCATTTTATTATTTGGGCTCAACCTCTGTTGAAATCATTAAGACAAGATGCAGATGAAGTAGCTATGAGTCAATGCTCTTAAATACTAACTCTAGTTGCTACCCAGCCAAGAGAAATGAGTATCTGAATTCTGAAAAACTGAAATTGCATTAGTTATTCTTTGCTTTCCGTCTCCAAAAGCAAACAAACATGATGACTTTAAGGAGCTGCATCCCCACCATCTGGGAGTGGTGATGGAAGGATCAGCGTACTTCAAATGTTCAAGACCAATGTAAGGGTCGCTATGAGCCAGTTACTATCAATACTTACCGATGCCATCTGGAACCGTTTCCAATAAGTTCTGGGAGATGACTAAATCTGTTAACGAAGTCAGGCCACTGATTTCTTCAGGAAGTCTTTCCAACCTGTTTTCTGAGACATCTAAGTACAGAAGGTTCTTCAGATTTCCTATTTCCTACATCAATGACAGAGACAAAGAGACTCAAGTTTCAATTTGCCATCATATGAAGGAATTTATTTCGGCTATTTTTTGCAATCAAATCCCAAAGCAGTCCCAAGGATGTATTCTTTCCTACATGTGAAACCTGGCATAAATTCACAGGCTCCTCCCCTTCCCAATGGAACTGGGGAGCTGCATGAGTCACAGACGTGGAGCTGGGCAGGATGCCAAGCCGTCCACCTTCAGGCACCCAAGGAATCATTCTCATGTAATAGACAAGGAGACTGGTGCCAAGTGAAAACAAATAACTACAAGGTCACACAATCAGGAAAAAAGGCGGCGAGAATCCAGTTCTGTACGTTTGCAATCAATCACTAGGAAGCAGCTGTCATTTTGGGGTGACCCTGGGATTTTCTCTGGTAAGAAACCACCTATTTAATATTCCTTCCCTGACAGGTAGTACTTGCTAACACAAGTATCAATGTAGCTATGCCTTGGCAAACTGGAGCCTACACACACCCAAGATATCTTTAATAGCAACAGAAATGGCAAGTAGGTTGCTTAGTAAGAAAATGGTCTTCTGAGGAGTAGGGAAAGTACCTCAGTGAGTTTAATATTCAAGAATTATTTTACCTTCCAATCACAAAATGGATTTGGTTTGGCTTTTTCCCCCCCAGTTATATCTTATGCTTGCTTCCATTTTTACATTCCTATTTAGTGTGATTTTAAATTTCAATTCTTACTATCCTACTTAGGACCATTATCTCAGCTTCTTGGACTCTGGGTCATGACTTTAGGTCTCCAATGCACCCTAGAACCTGCTAAAGACAGAAGTCCAGTCACATAATCACGCCACTCTCCTACTCGAGGAATAACAGAGCTTCGTCTCACATGCTTGGGGCATGTTGCTAGGACAGGCTATTCTGTGTCTCCGTGGAGCATCATGCTTGGGAAAATGGACAGACCCACATCCACAGGAAGAAAAGAAGACTCTCAACCTGGTGGACTGACACAGAGACTACAGCAATGGCCTGTGGTGTGTGAGACCGTGAGGCTGGCACAGGACAGGACAGGGTTGTCATCTGTTGTTCACAGGGTTGCTATCATTCATACTCAACTTGATGGCATCTAACAACAAACAACAACAACTCCTACTCAAAACACATCTGGGACTTCATGATGTCTCAAATAAACAAAACACACTGCCATCAAGTTGGTTCTGACTCAAAGAAGCTGTGAAACTTAATAAAAGGAGACTATCCATTGTTCTCCCAAGAAGGTGCTGGTGAACTTGAACTGCCAGAGACACAGTCTTTGGCTTAGCAGCACAACTTGCTACAAAGTACATCACCAGAGTGCCTTCTCCGATTCCAACATGAACAAACCTTCCTCAACCTACATTTAAGGTTTCCCATAAATCAGTCTGACCTGTAATTTGGTCAGCGCTGACCTCCTCTTGTGTGGTTTATAGCCTCTGGAAACCTGCTGGAGAGTCAGCTATAAGTCAGTTCTGACCCATGGAAGACTAGAATATAGAATATACAAACACACAGAGAGGTACCTAGATAAAGAAAACGGAGGCCATGGAACACAGAAATGTTCACTTGGGGGTTTTTGGTTTACTTTTAAGCTTTCCCTTTCTGGTTACCAAAAAAGAAAGCATCTCTGCCTACTAGGTGTCCACAAGGTAACTGTGCCCTCGAAAGTCCAGACACGACTCCATATGGAACATGGTTCTCACATCTGCTACCAGGAGGAAAAATCTGAACAGCATGACATGCAGCTAATCCACAGGCAATATGTGAAAACACACAGAAGCTAATTCTTTTAACCCTGTTTTTATAGTAACTACTAAATGGCATGCTTTAGGCAATTGTTAGAAGGGGCTATTTCTTTGATAGAGACATCATACTTAGAAAAGTAGAAGGTCTAAAAAAAGAGAGGGAGAACCTCAAAGAGATGTATTGACACAGTGATTGCAGCAGTAAGCTCACAGAATAGGACAGGGATCAGATCTGTTGTTCATAGGTTATCTATGATGCATACTTAAGTCAACAGCACCTAACAATAACAACATTATAGGGGGGAAATGTATCTAAAATTATCCCAACATGGCACCTCACAAAGAATGATAAAAATGTACAGTCAGAGCAATACCCGACCCACTGCTATGGAGTCAATTCTGACCCTTAGTGGCCCTACAGGGCAAAGTAAAGCTAAGCCCCAGGCTATCAGATGCTGTCAATCTTTCTGGTAGCAGACCATGGCTCTTCCATGGAGTGGCTGGGAGGTTTGAATGACTGGGGATTTTGGTTAGATGTCTAATGTTTAGTTTATAACACCACCACAGCTCCTGTCAGAATAACGGATTCCAATAATTTTAAAAATGGGACTGAGAAAAACTGGATAAATTGCATATACTGCATTGAAACAAATGAGGGAGAGAATAAAAGTGATATATGATAGGGTATTATGGTTATCACAAGAGTCCACAATTAAGGTTGCATAGTGGAGTGTACTTGGGGTGGTGGGAGAGGTGTGGGGGGATTGTATATCAAAGAAAGAATTTTTCTTTTACTTTTCAAAGAGAGGAGCGAACGGGGCAGGGGGGCGGTGGGAGGTCTGGGCAGGGAGAAAAGTGCAACAATGAATGAATGGAAATTCCAAATCTCTATAAATGTTCATTAAAATTATTAAAATAAAAACATTTTTTTAAAAAATCTACCGAGCTTGAGATAAATTATAAGTGGCATGGGAGAAACAAATTCATATTCTACAAACTAAGGGCTATATATCTGCTATTTAGGAAGGGTACTATTATATAAGTTTTCCATTTTTCTAGCAAGAAGCTCTGGTGACTTAGTGTTAAGGAGTTGTGCCGCCAACCCAAAGGCATATGGTTCCAATGCACCAATCTGTGGATAAAAATGGGCAATCTCTTCCTGTGCGATTAACTGTCCCTGAAAATCCACCAAAGAGTTAGCTATGGATCAGTTCCAACTCAACATTATATAACAACAACAACAATACGGCAATCTAAAAAGGTAAACGTTCAACACAGTTTTCAATTGTGTATTTTCAGTCCATGTTTTGGTTTCAAGATGACTTTTATTAAACACATACATGTAGTGGGAAGACATGCATAAGATTGTCATTGTTACTGTTTTACATTTTCATAAAGATGTTACCGCTTACCTCAGGTAATTCTGACAGCTGATTTCCGTCCAACCAGAGATCTTTTAGATGTATAAGAGCTCCAATTGATTCTGGCTAAAACAATAAAATAACATTAGAGTAGCAAAAATCTAATTTCAATCATCCATTAAGAGAGTATCCTAATGTACAGTTAATAATTAGATACTATGGCAGAAATCTGTTGGTATATGTCAAGGATCAAGTTCTTTTTTTAAAAAGTGCCCCCTACTTTACTCAAATGTCAATTCTTGGTTCTACCAACACCACAGCCCCTGGTCTTGACCAACATTTCCCTGCTAGTTACTACACACTATTACTACGTACTATCATGTTGCAACTGATTCACAGCTGATCCTCTAGCAGGTTTTTAGAGGTACATCACACAGAGAAGACGGTCCATCTTCCTCCCATGGGAGATTCAAACCACCTACCTTTGGGTTGGCACCATAACTTTTTACCCACGAAAGCCACTAGAGTCCTCAAACACTGCTCCCACTTCACCCAAATCTCAATTTCTCAATTGTCTGAAATGAAGCGGGTTTTTTTTTTTGTTGTTTATTGGGTTTTTTTTTTTTAAACATTTCCAAGTCACACCTCTGGAAATACTGGTTTACAAGCATCCCTACAGATTACCCTAAAATGTTTCATAACCAAAACGCAGGGCAAGTGAAATTCAAATCTCCCTCCCTACAGACTTACCAAATTAGATATTTCATTGTTTCCTAAATCAAGTTCTTCTAGTCTCTGTAGCTGGGTAAGTGAGCTACGAAAAAAATGAAGAGAGAAATGGTAAATGGGGTCGTATATAAAGAAACACATAGAAATGCAGAAAAAGATGGTAATCCTCACTTAGACTAGGTCTTAAAAACTAAGGTTCTCTTGAATTTGGAGTAGTAAACTATTGCATAGGAAAGGAAAATTGCAAGAATTATATCTTTTTGGATCAAGGAAAGGGAGAAGATCCCTTTCGAAGAACAAAATGCATACCAACTGTGTAAGTAAATCAGTATAAAATAAAAAATTTTCTTTTAAGTAAAATAAATAATTATTTTTATCTTTCAAAGGCTTAGCAAATAACATAGAATTTTTATTTTAACAAAACATTAGTCCTTTCTTTTTAAGTGCTTGTAAAAAAAATAAAAAATATTCAAGATGAAAGCCCCACTCTTTCTACTCCCAAAGACTCACTCAGGAAGATATGTAAGAAGATTTTCTCTCAGTTCCAGTGAAGCCAGGTTATAAAGACTAAAAATCAAAAGAGGAAAAACATGTGAGCAAAAAATTCCCGAGACGTTTTCCCACTCCAGCTCCTCCAAAGCCACCCAACAAGCTGCAGCCCTTAATAAGGCTGTGTTCTTCATTTCCTAGGGGGAAAATGTCTACCACCCACCCCACACACCAAGCATATTATCTATCTCCTCAATTTTAACACTAAAATAAAGGAATACATCATGACAACAAGGCACTCTCACTGAATTGCTTTGCCCATTTGCTATGTGACAATAAATCACTAGCCACTAAAAGGGTAACCACTCCTGGACCAAGACACAAAAGACACAAGTTGACTGTTTCTATAAAAAACAGCAACATCTTCAATCTTGAATTGCTCAGAGTTCTTTCCCCGAATGAGAGGAGGGGAGACCAAACCTGATGGTAAATGGTAGACATCTCAGTCCGGAGAATCCAAGTGCTCTATTTAAGATTACCCACCCACACTGCCCAGTGGCAGTACTCTGGAAATAACTTCTGTTAAAGTGCATTTGGGGTAACGTTAATAATGTGCCTTGCATGGTGCCTGGTGCACAAGACTGAATTACTAAACAGGAGGTATAATAAGGTAGCTTTTACTTTCATTAACCCCTAGAATGACGCTCCTTTCAGCAGATTCTACAGGCTCTCGGGTGTAACTGTGTCTATTTGGAGTAGAGTTAAAAGAGACAGATGTTCTCAGCAGACCCTGATTATCTGGGTCAAATTTTGATGGACAGCAGCAGTCCTGCCATACCAGAAACCCTTGCAACCCACGTTATGTCAGGACTGGCTCAAGGTATGGAATCGAACAACTAACCAATCCATCGATTTCCTAACAAGCCCACAAACTCCAGTTTTTGCCAATATCACCACAGTAAGATGCAGATTTGGGAGGATTTTATCTGTGCATATACAGAGTACAAGGAATTTAGCAACATCCCAACCCGCTAATCTGACTTAATCCTCTATTCTCCTGTCTCCCAAAATAAAAGCTAGGACCATGTGTGCTGGAAAAGCTGGTTTCACAACATCAGAAAATGTAAATGTAAATGCACAGTATGCATATAGGACTAGAACCTTCTTGCTTGGAAAAATTTAGGAACTGTACATGTTCTGTATCTCTTTCCTTACTTTTAGGAAACAGAATAAGAGTTTTCATAGTTTAAGCAATATTAACATATAAAATTATTTAAAATGTATTTTTAACCATTCTGTTGTTTCCTATTGGTTTGCATACAAAGTTCATATACACTGTGTTTCATTTATGGGTATTGTGTTTCACACATTCCCATTGTGTTTTATATGAACATTCTCATACACTGTGTTTAATAATATTAAATACCATTCATTCATCTTTGTCCACAATCACCTTGTCTTTTCAGGTCCCCGCTAGATAGATCTATCTTAACTCCACTCTCTCCCTCTGCCCAAGAAACTCTGTGACACCAGATTCCTCCCTCCCTCCCTTCAGCACCCACAGCACCCCTCCCCTTCTCTTCCCCTTTGGACTTTTATCCACATCCTCCTAGTTATCCTTCTAATTTTACAGTAATGGTCTTATGCACTATTTGTCCTTATGAGGTTGAGTTAGTTCACACCAAAGTGCTCCTTAGCCTCTCCCATGTTATACAGCATTTCTCAAAATTGTTGCCCCTGAGTCTCCCATAGTACTGTACTGCATAAAGGTACCACAATTTCTTAATCCACTCATTTGTTGATGGACATCTGGGCTGACTCTTGCTATCGTGAATAATGCTGCAATGAACATGGATGTACAAATCTCCATTTGTGTCTCTGTTCTCTTTTCCTCAGGGTATATTCCTAGCAGTAGAATAGCTGGGTCACATAGTATCTCTGTTTTATTATTTGAGGAAACTCCAAACTGGCTTACAGAGTGGCTGTGCCATTTTATAATCCCACCAACAGTGTATGAGTGTTCCGATCTCCCCACATCCTCTCCAACTACAAAATGGGCAAAAGACATGGAAAGGCCTTTCACGGAGGAAGACATCTGGATGGCCAACACACACATGAAGAAACGCTCAAAATCACTGGCAATCCAAGAGATGCAAATCAAACCCACAACGAAATATCATCTCAACCCGTAGCAGTGGCAAAGTCTAACAGGACAGGTAGCAACACACGTTGGTGAGGATGTGGAAAGATCAGAACTGTCATACATTGTTGGTGGGATTTTTAACCATGTTTAACGGTGTTAAATATGTAAGTAGCAAAACATTTCCCTTTTCAATAATCTTCACGCTGAATTGTGGTGCTGGAGAAGAGTCTTGAACATACCATGGACTGCCAAGAAAACATATAGGTTTGTCTTGGAGAGGGTAAAATCAAATGTCTCCTTGAAGGCAAGGATTTTGAAGCTCTGTCTCACATACTTTGGGCACATGGCCAGGAGAGATTAGTCCGTAGAGAAGGACATCATGCATGGAAGGATGGGCGGACAGCGCAGGAGAGGAAAACCCTGAATGAGATGGATTGATACAGTAACTGGGGCAATGGGGATTGGTGTGTCAGAATTAGTGACACTGGCTCAGGATGGGGCAAGATTCAGAGCTGCTGTACATAAGGTCACTATGGGTTGCAGGCAACTCGATGGCAAACAACAACAACAACAACAACAACAACAAAATATCCAACTATGGTTAATGGTAATCATTTCCACATTTCCCCATCAGTCTTAAAACAAACACTGGGTCTCCCAAGTGTTTTATCTTCCTTTCTTCCCTCTGCCACTGTCAGTAGCATCACTAACAAACTCTGATCTCTATTCAAATTTATTTTAGAATGAAAATTCTCAATAAACATTTATGAATTGAATGTCAACATCCTTCAAATAAAATGTAACATACTGGAAAGCTTCAGCTACCCAGTTTTACTTTATCTTGGTCAAGTATTTAAGAGGGGAAAAAAACAATAGGAGGAATGAGTAGGAGGAGAGAAACACCTCCCCCTCCCTAGTATCAATTTCCAAAGGCATCTCTAAAGAATGGTGGCAAGTTAAAGGGAGTTCTCAAGGGTGGAATAGGGAAGTGCAATGGTTAATGCACGTGGCTGCTATCTGCAGAGCTGGAGGTTCGAGTTCAGAGGGATCTCAGCATAAAGTCCTGGCAATCTACTTATGAACAATTAGCCAGCCAAACTTCAGTGAAGCACAGTTCTACTCGAACTTACATGGAGTCATCAGCAGTCAGAGTTGACTCCACAGCAATTAAAAACACTTAAAAAGTAAAATAAAGAAAGGGAATGACAAAGTTTTGTTTTTGGTTTTATCTTTTCCAGTAATCCTTAACTAGTTTTATAAAGAAGCTATAAATTTGGCTATTTTTACACTGGTTATTTAATAAAGTCACTGACAGAACTGTCAAGGAGTCTGTATGACATCAGTGTATAACAATGTGCTATACTGGGTAATACACTGGTGGCCTAGTGGCAAGAAGTTGCACTGCAATCCAAAGGCTCGGAGTTCAAATCCACCAGCTGATCTGCCAGAGAAGGATGGAGAATCTCCTCCTATGTGATTAACTGCCTCTCAAAACTCTGTGGAGGGTCAGCTATGGGTTAGTTCCAACTCTGTGGTACACAACAACACAACAACAGTGCATAGTATGTTGGGCTATTAAGTCAAAGTCCAGCAATTTGAACATACCAGCCACTCCAAGGGAGAAAGTCAGGCAGTCGCCTCCTGTAAAGATGTGCAACCTCAGAACCAAGTGGAGGGTTGCAATAAGTTGAAACAACTTGATGGCAAAGGGGGTAAAACTGTCATTATTTTCTATTCAACATTCATGACTTTAAAGCCTAGTCTAGCAAACTAGGAGCACCCCACTATAAAAAAAAATAAAATAAAAAAAATTTTCTTTGCCTCGAACATTTTAGCCAAGAGCATCATCAAAAGCATCTTTCTAAAAAAGCTGCTTTGCTCAGTCCTTGATGCTAAGTGCTGTCGAACAGCTTGGCAGCTATAGTCAGAGCATCTCCTGTGTGGAATCAGAGCACAGTGGCCCAAGGCAGGGCTCCTGACACATATACCTTACTTTATTTCCTAACAACCACCTCCGTGTACAGATACTACACACTCGCAGCATGGTGACATTGGAAAGCAAAGCTGTGCGCAAGATAACCGACAACAGGGTTCCCCAGCATAAAGGCTAGCACTCTAGACTCAAAACAGCGGAACCTGCTGCCGTTTTAGAAGTTTGCATGGTGCAATAAGAGCAGTAAGCCTAAATGCTTGGCTGCTAATGGAAAGGTCTGTGGTTAGAATCTACTTGTCACTCCAGATTTGATAATCGGTTTCCACAAAGATTACAGCCTTGAAAATGCTCTGGGGCCGTCCTACTCTGCACAACAGCGATGCTATAAGCAGCAAGTCGGGCAGCACAATGGTTACATACTCGACTGATAATTGAAACAAGAGCAGTTCAAACCCACCCATGGTTCAAACCTGTGGGAAGAAGACTTGGTGACTGACTCCTGTAAAGATTACAGCCATGAAAACCCTATGGGGCAGTTGTACTCTGTCACACAAGGTCACTAAGGGTCCAGATGTACTCAACGGCACTTACAGCCACAATGCAAACCTGGTCAATAGCAAAGTCCTTCCTTGAGGTACATACATACCCAGCATCCTCTAGTCATCAGGGCTTTCTAGAGAATTTACATTTTTAAACATTTTTAAATTTAAACATATTTATTAATTTATATTATAAAAAGATACGCCTATGAAAGTAAGTCTGATCTTTTATTCATTCAAGAGACATTGTGATCTTTTTGCTGTTGTAAATTAAATGGGTAACTCCTATCCCATATAACACTCACACTCAAATATCATTGTTGTTGTTATTGTACCATAAAGTTGGAACTGACACATAGCTGTCCCTTTGGTGGGTTTTCAGAGGCAGTTAATCACATGGGAGGAGACTGCCCATTCTTCTCCCACAGAGGAGCGGGGGACTTTGAACCGTGTGCCTTGGGGA